AAGAATACCACATGTTTAATTTCTTTAATTCATATTAAACTATATGAATTACACGAGGTCTACTTTAGAGTGTAGAAGTTTGACAAATAATATACTTTAATGAGTGGTTCACTCTACATGCATACCGATTCAAATCGATTTTCTGAAATCGATTCTTCATAAACCGATTTTTAAAAATCGATTTTTTTCTTCGTGATTCGAATCGATCTTTAAATCAATCTGTTTGAAAAAAATCGGCATCCCTACCTTCGCGATGTCGCGCGCTCCTGAGACAGGCTTCCCCTTCCCGGGGAAAGGGGGAAGAGCTCGAGAAGAGGCGATTCGATCGCGAGGAGTCGCTTCTCATCGCAGGAGATGTTGAAATTGTCACAGGATGACTGTTGCGCTGCTTTGCGTTTGTCTTGCTGAGTTCGCTCGCGAAATGCAAGCAGTTGCGTGCAACAAATTATTTATGTAGCCAATTAATTATTTATCTGACGTTTTTTCGGCGATACCGACACGTACATGTACGTTCGCGCACACGTTCGGTTTCTTTTTTCAATTCATGAACATAAAAAGTCTCACTCGTCCAATTGATCATCATGAAGAAGGAAAGGAAATTGCCGAGTGTTGTTGCGGAGAAGCGGTCGGCACAAAATTCAGCACAAGAACAGAGACAGGAGTCTCGTCGCGCGACATTAACGAGCGATAGTTAGTTTAGACGAGGGCGTTTGCGATAGTTTGAAATTCAATCGTCTTCCTCCGGCTTCAGCGAGTTCACGCCTGAATTCCGAGGTTAAACCTCGATCGAGCGCTGAGGCAATGAATGAAAATGATTGCAGCGGTCGACGCACGAGAGAGAGAGAGAGAGAGAGAGAGAGAGAGAGAGACCTCTCTCCCTCTTTTTCCCTCGCACCTCGTTGAGAACTTTATCGACGCGATATCACGACAGTATCGCGCGGTGAACGTAAATCGCGCGCGCGCGTTCGATTTCAGGATGCAATCAAAAGTGATATCCCGTAACGAGGTATCGCCGAAGGACGGTCTTACGACCTCGCGTTAATAGCTACAACGATCCGGCGCGCTGCTCGATGGCTATCGAGAATTAGATGGAAAATTGCCCGCGTCTCTCGCGTGTTCGACTTGGCGCGCGTGGCCGAAGGTTTCATTAAATTCTTTAAGAGAGACGCGGAATCGATAGATCCGCGCCGTGCGTGCGGATGCTATCTTCGTCGGCGGCCAACGATTAACCGCGCCGCGGGAATGGGGAGATTGGGGGAGGGGGAGGGGGGAGGGGGCAAACAAGAACGCGCGCAGGATCGTATCCGCGAGATAGCATCTCGTTGGCGGATTAATACCGAATTTTTTTCGACGCCGCGGAACGAGATGGGGCAGAGCCGTTAGTCGCGTTCGGACGGCACGGAAAGCGTGGAAAACGAACGCCGATTCATTATATCCGTACCGATCCGTACTCTTTCTCCCCCTCCACCCTCTCTCTTTCTCTCTCTCTCTCTCTCTCTCCTTTTCTCCGGCGTGACCTTTTCACGACGCCCGCTTCTGATTTATGGACCGACTGCCTCGACGAGGCCGAGAATCGCTTCGCGCTCACCTGGAAAGCCGACAACATTATTCGCCGGCCACAATGTCCCACGCTGAGCGGAGAGAGAGAGAGAGAGAGAGAGAGAGAGAGAGAGGCTATCCAGCCGGCTGGGTTGCATAATAACCAAGTGGCACGTAATGAATCGCCGCTTCGTCGGGTACTAATGGCTGGCTTCGCGCGGATTTTCTCTCGTCCTGCCGGCGTTATCTGCAGGCCACCTCGGATCGCTCGACGATCCTTGGCCGGGGACAAGGACTATTCTGATCGCGCAGCGCGCCTCAAGTGAGCCTTCTTAATCCCAGGCTCCGTTTTTCCTGCACGTGATTCCTGCCTGAGAATCAGAAGGGTGTATTTAGAGCTCGGGGGCGCGCCCGAGCAACATCCTGCTAAGGATGTTAATCGTGAGTCAATTCCCTCGGCGAGAACTCGGGCGGAATTTTCCTCGCTTTTCGCGAGGCTTCTCACCAGAGCGGAAGATTCACGAGCACCGGCCGCGAGTCGGCGAGATTTCTCATCGAACCGCCAGTTGAACCGCAGAATCAATTCGCGGAGCGCAGTGACGTAATAATAATCTCGTTGCGGAGGACACGAGCGCAGAGAGCGCGACGGTGCACTTGCTCGCGCGGAGAAAAACGCTCGGTTGAGGGAAACAATTTTCTGCCGAAGCAACGATTCGATCCTAGTGGAAGAGTTGCGAGAGTTCGGCCGAAACGATCAAGATTTCCGGTGAATTTAGACAGAATTTCGTTATTTCCGGTCGGAGCCTCCGAGTCGCTCGTATTTCGCCGAAAAACTGGCTGATCCAAGTGCACACTTCCTCTCGCCGTGAGTCGTCCGAATGGCGAACCGCGATTCGCTCAGTATGCCGATGAAAACGAGACGAAAGGTACGGCTTCTCGAGCAAAAAATTGTTAGAGCCATTCTCATGAAGGATAAGGCCCCGATAAGGCTGAAATAGGATGAAACAGGTTGAAATAGGATGTCTTAAAAAGGGATGCTTCATTTATTACCACATCAGGCCTCGAGATGGATCTTTAGATATCTTAGATTTTACGAAATAGGCTTTTGATAAGGAAAATTAATGAGGGCCTTAGAAGGATTTATTAGGGACGCCTTAGATTTAATAAATAAGGCTTTGATAGGGAAAACTGATAAGAATCGTAGAAGAATCTTTTAGGGATATTTTAGATTTTACGAAATAACGCAATTTAACATGGAAAATGATGTAAGCCTTAGAAGGATCTTTTAAGGATACTTTGGACAATACAAAATCAAGTTCTGTTATAGAAAATTAATAAGATCTGAAACATGTAATAAAATTGTCGTACTAAGTTTAGTATTGCTTTAGTAGGTACGCTCTATCTGGTTCTTTTAAAGATTTTAATTATACCGCAATTAAAAGCAAATTTTTTTACGTTTATTAGTTGCCATATTCACTCTTTTCAGTCTTTTCCATGGATTTTTCTAGTATCGCCTTCGTTTTGAGATGAAACTTTAATAAAAACAGAATGCAAGATTTTTTTTATGTGCAAAGAATGCTATATTTTTAAAATAAAAAATTCTTGTTTTATAATAACAAGGTTATAAAAAAATAAAGAAATTACAGACTAGATTTCTTGGAACGAAAAGAACGAATATTTTTACTCAAACGATAATAAAATTATTTCTTTATTAAAGTCTTATTAATATTGCCTTATAAGGTCCTGTTGATATTGCCTCATAAAGCCCTTATAATATTGCCTTAAAAGGACGCGTTAAACCATTTGTAGGACCCTTGTCTTTCTATCTTTACTAGGACCTGATTAATGTTAGAGAAAAATAATCAGGCCCTTACCAGAGCCCTATTAATTGTTCTACTCGGATGATTTCGATTGGACTTATTTCGCGCCGGTAGCGCGATTTTACCCGTCGTGTCGTTCGAGGCCGCGACCTGACCGAAGGAAGGAAATGCGCCGGGCCGGGCAGAGCTCGAGCTCGGAGATTCGGCCAGATAACGCGCGCTGTTCGACGGAGGAGGGTCGTCGCCGGGAGAATCACCGCGCGGCCAGTCATGGGTGAGAGAAAAAGCAGGAAAGTCGGGAGAAGGAGGTTTGTAGGTCTATGCCGATGACGATTGAAGCTAATTAATTGCCCGGCGCGGCGGATTACCTCAAAGATCCCATTACATAGCTCGTTTAACGACGTGGCGGCTTAAAAACGCCGCTATTACGACGTCGGACGTGTTATTAATCGAAATAAGTGCCCACGGCGATTAGCGCGATAGCGTAAAATCCCTAATAACACGCTCGCGCGCCGCGGCGTCCCGCGGAAATTAATTGCGGAAGGCTATCGACGTCTTCGTCGTCGTCGTCGTCTTCTTCTTCTTCTTCTTCTTCTTCTTCTCAGCCTCCATCGTCGTCTTCATCGTAGTCACACTCGCCGCCGTGTCACTCGCCGTGTGTCACTCGCTGGCGAAACACGTGGAAACTGTTCTGCACATACGAGCTCTCACACTGGCCAAGTAGCCTCGTTAGAATCGTGATTTCGGAGAAGCACCGACTATTAGCTTCGTAACTCGTCCGTATCTCCCGTCTTTCTCCCTTTTCTTTCTGTCTCTATTTTCCTCTCTCTCTCTCTCTCTCTCTCTCTCTCTCTCTCTCTCTCTCTCTCTCTCTCTCTCTCTCTCCCCTTGTCAGATGCTTCGCCGTCTCTTTCTCGCACCTTTTTTCTCTCCCTCTCTCTCTCTCTCTCTCTCTCTCTCTTCCTCGTTTCTGCACGCTGCCTTTACTCCCGAAGCGGATCGTTACCGGCGTAGAAACGGCGAGGTTTTGCCAGTAAAGCGAGGTGGAATGCGCGGCGAGGCAACGTCGACGGATCCATAAAATCCGCTCGCGCGCGCTTCGCTTCGCTTCGAGTTCGAATCTGGCGCGGGCTTGCTGCGCCGCAGGAAGCTGCGGGCTTGGAATGAAAGAGAGAGAGAGAGAGAGAGAGAGAGAGAGAGAGAGTTGTTCATTGCCAGAAGGAAGCTCGCGAGAATCCACGACGAATCTCCGTCCGGTGCCGCACGGAGAACTTTTTCTTTGGGGAGGGGGGCGGAGGGGGAAAGGCTTTCTTTCTTTTCGTATGACTGCTTTCGAGCGAGCAACGTGAAGAAGGGAACGAGGACGATTCGAGGAAACGATATCCTTGTTACGGCGATTGAGCACGCTCGCGATTCGGCCGCGTTGGAACTAGCGTCCCTTTACAATGCGAGGAGCGTGCTCTTCCCGGTGGATAAATAAGTAAATTAATTAAGGAATTAGTCGATCGAACGATTCGCGGGCGTGACGTCTGCTCGATTTCGCCGAAATACAGGCGGCGATCGAGCCGCTATCGCGATCGCGCTCGCGAAACCGCGGGGGAACTTGACCCGAGTAACGCGCTCTTCGTTTTCTCGTTGCAGCAATGCCAGCTGCTGAAGAAGGAGAATCGCAGGCTGCAGAGTGCCTTCCTGCAAAACGGCTTCCTCCAGGCGCGGGTCGATACGCTCCAATGGCAGTTCAAGCAGGTTCGTAGCCATGGCGCCTCGGTGAAAAATGTGCGGAAGAGGCGACTGATAAGATGGCCAACCGGTTTACCTCGCTCCGGTTACTCGATATCGCGTCACGTAACAACCGGTATCGGCGCACTGGCCGCCTGCCGCGCGTTTTCCCCCTCGATGATCCGAGCGCGATTTTCGTCGACCGCGATTTTTCCCGGCTGCCTCATTATCATTTCATGAATGAACTAGTCCCGGACGTCGGAGCGCCCGCGCCGGTCAGCGCTGAGAGCGCGTGAAACATGAAATCGCCGTTGATCCCGATCCCGTGGTCGTGTCACGCGGCATGCAGAAAACAAAGAAACAAACAGGTTCTCCGTCGGAGATACGGAGAGATAACGGCGAGATTTCCTACCAGAGGTAGAGACAATGAGAGAAAGACAGAGCCACTCGGCGTGGAAGCATAGAGACCGATGGAAGGCGGAAGCGAGCAGTCAGGTATCGAGAGATAACGTCCGTTCCGTCTTCGTCCGCAGGTCGAGTCGAATCGGCAGATGTACCGCTCCGTGATGGAGCAGGTCGCCTACTTCTTGGACCGTGCCCACAAGAGCCTCGAGATCCTCCACACCAAGGACTGTCCCAAGGACAAGAGACGCGTGCCGCGAAGTCGCAGCGTGCACGCGGTGGTGGTGCACGCTGATCCCTCGCCGAGCCGCGTCTCGACGTCGTCGCCGTCGCCGTCCGGATCCTCGCGGTTCACGCGAGCCAAGTCGGTCACGCAGATGTCGCCGAGCGTCAGCAGCATCCGCGACTTCACCTGGTCGGTCTTGCGCAAGAACGACCCGGTGTACTGCACGACGCCGCGCGCCAAGCCGTCGCAGGACCTCAACAAGTCCCACGACGGCGTCTATCAAGAACCGAAGCAGTCCGAGCTCAACCCGGACGAGATACCGCCGGAGAAGCTGTCGCAGGAGGCGTTCAGGTGCGTTCACAATGAATCGTCGACCCTCGGTGGAAGGTCTTTTTATTTGATTGAACTGTGATTTGGTGATCGAGCCTCTTGAATTTATTCCTTGGCTTTTCACGCCTTTCGTCCTTCGTTCATTCAATTCTTCCGTTTCATGAGCTGGCAGTTCACTTCTGCTTCTAGCAGTACTATCAAAAAATATGGTAAAGTCAAGAGGAACCTGTGAACGAAGAAAAGGACTATGTAATATTTCCTCCTAATCTCAAATTATTCATTTATAGTTGGTCTTCCCATCACCAAGCGGTCGTGTACTCTTCTTGCGTCATTCATCATTATTTAAGATCCAGTTATTATGATTTCTACTAGACTAGTTGTCATTGTCCTAGTTCCATTTAAAGAATCCGCCTATTGATCGGACGAAACCGTTACCGTAGGTTGCTGAGGCTCGTCGATTCCCTGTTGGCGACCCGAGAACCCGACCTGGCTAGGGTGACGCCGATCGAGGACAACGGGTCCTCTCCTTCGCCGACGGAACGTCATCACTACCACGACGTGTCCGCCTCCCTGCAGAGCGGCAACTTTGTGAACTCGACGAGCCTACAAGAGTCCAGCCACGTGGCTATCGACCGCGGAAACGAGTCGAGTATTGCCCAGGGCGACTCGGCCGGCTCATGCTTCGTCAAGACTCCCGAAATGAGCGCGAGTCTGCAGGCCACGCTGCCGCGCACGAGAAGATCCCCGGATGCTGCCTCCTGGAACTCCAGCAGCAGCAGCAAGGCGACCGAGGAGGAGGACACGGTCGCGGCGGCGTCTCCGAAACAGCTGGAGAAGAAGGAGCCGCCTTGCAAGGCCAAGAGCCCGGTCAGCGTGAGCAGCGCCGAGAGCGAGAGTGGTTTCTCCTCGATAAGCTCGTTCCAGGAGGTCGGCCTGCCATCGGCCTCGTCGATCAGACCCATCAAGGGCTGCCACACCGAGGTCGGCCTGCCGGAGGTGCCCTTGGACAAGACCAGGCACCGACGGTGGACCTCCACGCCGGCGGAGCTGCAGGCGCTCTACAAGCTGCTCTACAGCCAACATCGGGGGAGCTTCGGCGGCACGCAAGCCACCAGCGAGTCCGTCAGCGTCTGCTGGGTCTGAGACGCGCGGGATCCGCGCCGAAGGTCCCACCGCGAGGCCATCGCCGATGGGCTCGGCCGCGGATCGGCGGATCCACATCCGCGAAGAACGCGGACTGACGGATACTCCCGGAGACGATAGGGCTTTCTTAGCGCGCCCAGTGTGTGTGAGAGAGAGAGAGAGAGAGAGAGAGAGAGAGAGAGAGAGAGAATGGTGAATTTGTAAATAATTTCCTACATGCACACGCGCGCGCTCACGTGCGCTCAGCCGTCGGTCTCGTCACTCGTGTCGATGAGAGTTACGAGAGAAAAGCCGCAGTACTGATTCGCAGAGATCGACAGCGACCGGCCGGTCGCTCGTTCCTCCCGCTCCCGCGGGAGACGTTTACTCTAGTAATATTAGGATTGTAAGTCATGATATCTAAAAGTTGCTACATACGTTAGTATCGGTAGTTTCGAATAGTGTACGAGTGTGTGAAAATAACTGCCTCGGCGAGCAGGTCCGAGCGGGAGTCGAGAGAGTAACGCGCGGAAGCATCTCGCGGAAGCAGCGCCTGGACGAGTCCCGCGTCCTGCTTCGTCCTAGCTTCGACGAGGAAGACCCGGCTTCCTCGCCGAGTCCTCCCTCCGCGGAGGGACTGCCTCTTCGTGCACGTTCACGTGTGACCTGGACGTGTGCACGAGCCTCGGAACGTCGTTCCATCGCTATACGGAGTGACGACAGCGTGCATCCCGGGTTGTCTTCTTCTTGACATTCTCGCGCGAGGATGAAGATTACGCGCGAGAATGCGCCAGATAATGATGAACGAGGAGACGCGTCGGAGGGGTGTGAACGTCGTCACCCGGCTGCGGAGAACGGAAGACGAGTATGCTTTCACGATGTTGCGCTATCAGCCATATCACACCGAGTAGTTTCGCGCCAATCTCATATCGGTGTCGACGAAACTCGTCGCGAGCGATGCATGCAAACACACACACACACACACACACACATATACACGCGCGCGCGCGCGCGATTCGCGAGCCGATCGGTCTCGATACAAGACGCTCGGGTTCAACACTTCTCCTTCTTCACACTTTGATCGCGAATGAAAGACGCGATGCGATGGGAGAATTTGGATTCTCGAAGAAATCACAAGAGGCAAGTGCTCTCATGAGACATCGACTATGTTGCAGACACTATATCGAAGGAAAAGTGTTCAAACCGAGCACAGACTCACGCTCACATTCGATTTTAGCGTGGCTTCGACACTTTTTCCTTCTTCGATATAGGCTGAAACGCAGCCGGCGGAAGGATTTGGTTCCGAGCGATCGCCGGAAATCTCGTCCAATGAGAATACTTAATTTTTGCGAATTAATTGGTGCGCTGGAGAAAAATATCCGAAATATCCGATTGTCAATTTCGTTATCCGATCAAATGTGTTTCCGGTGTGTTTTAATCGGATATTTGATCGGATAACAAAATTAACAATCGGATATTTCTGATACTTTTCTCCGTGTGAAAAACAAATTCCCTCATTTATTGCAACAGCGACTGATCGCGAAGGGGAGAATTTTGAACGGATTTTCATCAATATGGAATCAATTTTGTACAATTCGCAGGAGCTAAGCTCGCTCGCTGGGCGTCGACTGCGTTCCCAACTGCGTCGAAGGAAGTGTTCGAACCGTGTCGAAAGCGAGTAACATGTACACACACACACACACACACACACACACAGTGCAGTTTTGTCCGTTCATTGAAAAATCGCGGGCGGCTCGGCGAGACTACCTAGCTGGACGTCGCCGAGCGCAGCTCGCGATCGACGATCGCTCCCGTTTCATCGACTCCGCTTTAATTATTCGTATCTCATATATCGTTATTACGCACCAGGCGAATGATTAGTCACTAAACAATGAATGATGTGTTTTCGGCTTGGAGTGAATCCTCAGACCGTTTCTGAATTGTACGACGAAAGTAATTCGCTGCTTGCGTCGGCCCCGCGAGACTCTAGTTTAAGTTTTAGCGTAATTCGATCAGATGCCTATCGACTCCGATTTGGGAGGGAGCGAGACGTCGAGATCCGAACGATGATGAATCCTGCTCTTTGTCTCTTTTTCTTCTAAGTTCTCAAAGTTACATACTATCGCGTGTTGAAAGAGAGGCAGAGAGGACGAACAGACATCGAATCGACGAGTTGGAGCCAACCGCGGATTCATTCTTTTCAGCACGTTTCCACTGTTTCGCGATTCCCTCGCGCGCGCTTGTACTTAACACGATCGCCATCGCGGTCCATTTGATGAACTTATCCCAAATTCTTTTCTCCTATGTAATTGTGTGGAGCAAACCTAGCTTGCTCATGTGAACATAGGGAGAGATAAAATTCATCACACATACGTGACGCTGGTCTCTTATGAGAGACCACCGCATCTGTGTGACGTTGCCGACGGCGAACGTGTTAACGCCGACACGCTGCCAAGTATTCGGATATATCGGATCTCTCGGCTGCGCGTCCGAGATCGGTTCGAATCCGAAAAGTGAAAACCGCACTGCTCGCACCATTCGGATGAGCCAGGATATTCGGATACAGGAGACGAAAACTGGAATCGAGATCCGAGTCCAAAGTCGAACTCGGATCCGATCGAGAGGTCAGGTGAAGCCGTTAAATTGCCGTTAATTGCTGTTGAGAGAAGGCATTTATTGGCTGTCACAGTTTCGAGGGAAATCCAGGTTGCCGGGAGACGTGTCTGCGTTGGCTGCGAATTTCGACGCTTCCGAAACCGTTCGTGTGTCTTGGAAAATCCGAAAATCTTCAGCGTCGCCCGGATAATCGAATGTCCGAACAGCGTTGAATCCGAAACATTTGATGTCGATGTCGCTCCCCCCCCCCCGCCGCGGGGCTTCAGATTTGTGCTTGAACCATCGATCGATCGCGTGCCCGCATGTGTTACCATTGTGATAGTTGACTCGTTCGTTCGGTTTCGCGACGGCGCGACGTCCGATTATCGGCGAATTCACCGGATATCAACAGGCGAAGTCACTCGCAATTCCCGGAAACTCGCGCGGAGGGCAACGCGCGCCCCTTAAACGCGACGAGCTGGCGCGACCTGAGACCTTGTACTTCTTCTCGAAACTCGCGATGTATCTGTATATTTCTCATCGTGCGTAATTTCTCATTTGTCATTCGTAACTGTATAATACAGCTGAACACCGTACAAAAAGCGCCACGGGGTCTCCGTGTTTTGCATCTTTCACTTTCCCCTTCACCTTCGCGCTCCTCCGTCTCGTTGTATCACCTCGAAAGAGAGACTATCTACTTTTCTCGCGTGAAATGTCATCATTACTCGAGATCTTCGCGGGTCTTCCTCGAGATAATTCATACCCTCCCCGTGCGAGCTGTGCATTCGCCTTTCGAGCGCGTTCGCGCGACAACAGACGCCGCTGCTGCCATCTAACGTGAGCGTAAAAAAACTGCGCGAGGCAACCAGCCATACACCTGTCACTCGACAGGCGTGTTGTACCGTCCATCCGCTACGAATCCATCAAACTGACGACAGCCTCGAAGGACCAATCGCCACTCATTTATATCTCGAAACATAACCTCCTACGTTGAGGCAGATCACGACAGCGGCCCTCCAAAGTGCCCTTCCGACGTAACCGAGGTGTCGCCGATCGATATCGCCAGCCACACGCACCCGCAACTCGGCGGAATTCAGCAAACTCTAACCTCCCCTTCGTCGCAGATCACCCGGGGAATATCTGATCTCACGGGCACACCGGGTCGGTCCACACTCCAGCGGAAAGGCTCAGGATTCACGAACGGGAAGAACATCGTCGGCGCCACGAAGCAAGCCACAACACGAAGAAAGGCGAAAGTTATCAGTGAAACACGACCTCGTCGGCGAGGCTGACTCGACAGTTTCCATGCGACCCTTCGCGACGCTCAAAGTGACCCTTCCCCCTCCCCCTTTGCCGCACATGGCGCGTCCTCGAGACTGCCGAAGCCGAAGCACGACGACTTCTCCGTCAGCCTGCCGCTTGGAGGCACTTTGGAGCCGAAGTCAGCCCGCGACGGTGGTCGTCCTGGCCTTTCAAGCGCCGCGCTCGCAGACTGCCCGGAGCAGAGTCCCCTCCCACCCCACCCCTCCTTCCGGCTTCCTGATCGCCCTCGGCGAGCGGGCGCACTTTTCGTTCTCCGCTCTCTCGGCAGGAAGGACGACGAGAGGACACGCGCGTCGGAGGAATCTCGCGCGCGCATGGTCGCGCGGCCGATCGAACCCGCTTCTCGAGACGCGTCGCGTCTCTGACGCGCTGCGGCGCGGCGCGGCGTCGCGTCGCGGTGCGGGCATCTAATGCGGGGGCAGCGCGCGCGCGCGCGTGACGGAGGAGAGCGGGTCGATTGCGCGCGCAGTCTGATAAGGCCCGGCACGGGTGCTCGTTATCAGTGCGGCAGGCTGGCAGGCAAGGCAGGCAAGGCAGGCGCGGGCAGGCAGGCAGGCAAGCAGGCAGACAGGCAGGCACGCAGGCCGTGCGGCAGGAAACGCGGCAGACTCGGTCCACCAGTTAGCCAGGAGATCGCGCCACGAGGCGAGCCACTTTTAGATTGATTTTCAAGAGCACCGCGCACGGGGCAGCGCTCCGCGTTTATTTTAACGCGGCCAGAGTGTGCGTAAGGGAACGGCTCCGCGGTGTGCCGTACTCGGCTGATAGTGCGAGAGCCAGCGTGTGACGTGAGGCGAGAGGTTCGGGAACGAACGCCTCTCCTCCGCGGCGAGAGACCGGTCTCTGGCGGAAGGTCGTATTTTCGATCGTGTCTCGCGCACCGAGAGCACACACGCACGCACGCACGCACGCACGCACGCGACGACTGCAGCCGCCGCCGCCGTCGTCGCCGCCGCCGCCACCGCCGCCGCCGCCGCCGCCGCCGCCGCCGCCGTCGCCGCCGTCGCCGCCGTCGCCGCCGCGTGTGCCGTCGCTCCGCGAGGAAATACGTGTACATATCCACTTCGGTATCTTTCTTCACTCGTCGTGCCCGTCGTCGTGCGGTCGTCGTGCTCGTCGCCTTTGTCGTCGTCGTCGTCGTCGTCGTCGTCGTCGTCATCGCCGTCGTCGTCGTCGTCGTCGTCGTCGTCGTCGTCGTTGTCGTTGTCATCGTCGTCGATACACGGTTCCGTCCGTCCGTCTCCCGTCGAGAGCCCGCAGCAACGACGACGACGCTCCGTTCGTCACCGTCGTACCGATCCGCTCCTCCGTTCCGTCCCGTGTGCCTTCTTCGTCAACTCGCGGTGCGGTGTGTGTACCCAGCGAGTGCGCCCGTCGCGTGTGTGCAGTCGGCCCGAGTGCGCTTAGGCTCCGTGGCGCAGTGCGTGAAATGAGTGACAAGGACCGCTCCTCTCCCACTCTCGTCGAAAACAGTTTCAAGTCGCTGCTCGACCAGCCAAGCATATTCCCGCTGATCGGTAAGTGTGCGTTTCGGCCACGCAGAGAGCCGTTTCTTCTCATCCGCGTTGTTCCCTCAGTGTAATCGTATCGTAACGTATCGCGGTGCGCCACGCGCTCTACGCGGGACCGAGAGCTCTCTCGACCTCTCGCGCCCGGACGTCGTGTCGACCACGACGTCCGAAGGAGCGCGTTCTCCAGCTCGCGCCGCTCGCCTTTCGCAAGTCCCTCTCTGTCTCTTTCTCTCTCTCTCTCTCTCTCTCTCTCTCTCTCTCTCTCTCTCGCTCTCTCTCTCTCTCTCTCTCTCTCTCTCTCTCGTTCTCTCTCTCTCTCTCTCTCTCTCGCTCAAGTTCTCGCGCACTATCTCGCGAACCTATGGCCTCTGCGCCGCGAGTTGGCGAGTTTCATGGAAAACGCGGGTGGTCGTCGAGAACGCTGCACTTTGCATTCACGGCGCGCGCGCGCGTGAGCGAGCGAGCGAGCGAGCGAGCGCGTGACTCTCTCGCGAAAATTCCTCCTTTCGAAATTCGCGCAACCGCGCTACCACAGCGCGGACTGGCGGCGGCGGCGGCGGCGGCGGTGGCGGCGGCGACCAGCCATAATGTGCACAGCTCACTGTTTTCGTTTGAATATTCCACACCGCGACGGACGGCATTTGAATTTCGAGTGGGCCCCCGCGCTGCGTAACGCGCGCAGCACCGCAGGAATCCGCGCTTTTCCTATTATCAGACCGCTCGACCGCTAAAGAGGGCCAAAGTGCAAAGGGCGAGAACGCGAACAAGTAGAGGGGACGAGGAGGAAGAGGAGAGAAAGACAAAGAGAGAGGGAGAGAGAGAGAGAGTTAGAGAGAGGGGATGACAGAGAAAGAAGAGCACAGAACTAGAGGAACAGCGAGAGAGAGAGAGAGAGAGAGAGAGAGAGAGAGGAAGAGAAGAGTCATGGAGGACAACGAGCGTGTGTTCGTGCTCCTCGTCGTCATTGCGCCGACGCGCTGCTGGTCTCTGCCGATTAACCTCGTTTAGACCCGGTGGCGCACCACGTGACGCTGCCAGCCTTACCTCGGCCGTAGCTACCCAACCTATACGCTCGATTCGAGCGAGCGAGCGAGCGAGCGAGCGAGCGCGAGAACTAATCTTACGCGACGCGACGCGACATGGCTGAGAAGGCCGGAGAACGTCGAGAAGCCATGCGAAGTCGGCGCGCGCGTTCTTAAAGCGCGTTCCACCGCGGCACGGCTCGGCTCGGCTCGGTTCGGCGAGAGTCGCGCTGCGGAAATCGGAATAGCTGAATTCAAAGCGGTCGATGGGAACGACACGCGCCGATCAGCTGATCCGCCAAATCGGGGACCGGCGCGCTCGGACGTTCCTGCCGCATTCCGCGGATTTGCGCTGCTCGAACATGTTGCGCACTCTTTCTCTCTCTCTCTCTCTCTCTCGTCGCTCCCGCCGAGAGAGCCTCTTCCTCCGCGGCCGACCGAAGGGACCGACGACGTCCGGCGATCGCTCGGTCCACAAATTCTCAAGTTTCTCGAGACCGCGTCGGAGACGCTCTCGTCGGCTGTATTTGTCACACTGTGGTAAAGTTGCGAGGACATTTTTGTAGTCTACTATATCATGTAGGGGAATATAGCTCCGCGGTATGTTTGTCGAGAACACGTGCACGTGTTCGACTCCTCACCGGCAGAGCGTCGCGATCGCTCGGACGTTTCGTTTCTTCACGGAAATTCACACCACACCGCCGCGACTCCACGTTACATCCGGCCGTTGCCGGCGGCTTGAAAAGAATCAGATTTTTGCATCAATTTTGCACCACGACGTTTCCGATATCTCACCCGCTGATGTACGGACCATGAAGAGGCGAGGAGCTTGTTTTTCTAATCGCTCTCGCGCGAGCAACACATAAGCCGCCGCCGACACATCGAGTGCCGGGCTGTTGAAACAAACAGTTTTGACTGGCTTCTCGCCGGGGGGGGGCGAGATTGAGAATCGCATAGTACATTCCCGTATCCCGGCGCGACCTCATTCGATTCGCATTCTAAGGGGAAGACAGAACCGACCGAGCCGCGACCGCGGCAGCCAAGATTATTCAACGCCGGCGAGGCAAACCGGATCCGTTACTTCAATCGCGATCACCGTTCAATTTTTCACTCCTCTTAAATACCGACGACCGGTTTCGTTAATTCGCCGAGGTAAATGTCCCCCCTCCTGCCCTGCCTCCCCCTCTTTTCGCGCGCAGGCGTCGAAGCGCGAACGGACGACTTTCGGCCCGATAAGAAGCCGAATGACCGATAGCGAGTCGGCCGCTCGCGGAACCCGCGAAGTCACTCCTTCTGGTCCGACGCGATCCCCGCGGCCGCACGTGGTATCCTCCCGGCTAATTAAGGATGCGCGTTTATCAGGATACGACCGGTGGCCGATCAGCGCCGCCGGCGCGACGCGACACGACTCGTCTCATTACGCGAGCGATGCGCGAAACTGCTTGCCCAGCCGAATGGGAAGTGGCTCGTTACGTTGACCCAGGAAACTGTCCCTAATTTACTACGTCACTGAATCGGATTATGAATGCAATGCAGATTAAATAATTAGTGCTGAAGCCAGAACGCGTGCGTGCGTGCGTGCGTGAGCGCGAGGGAGGACACCAGCCGGCGGACGTGCTCGTCCCGGGGAAGCTTAACCGCGAAATTCGGCAAGTGGTGGCCGATTTGCCGGAAGGTCAAGGATCCGCCGAGACCCGAATATCCCCCCCCCCCCTCCGGAACAGCACCGTGAAATCCTATTTGCCCGCGCAATTGTTCCCAGGAGGAACTGTCATTGTCCGTTTGGCCGACTTTTTCTCTCTGCGCTCAAATCAACGCCGGCACCAGCCGGCTCTGCGACGA